CCCCTCCAACCCGGAGCCACGCTCCTCTCCCCTTTCATCTGAACCTGCCTGTGTTTCCACAGTGCCTGACTGTGCACACACACAGGCTAAAACACACACACACACACACACACACACACACACACACACACACACGCACAAACACACACACAAAGGACATCCACTCTGACTTCAGACAGCAAACTCTGTTCCAACCCATAATTACAAATTCTAAATGAGTCGGTCCTGAAAAAATGCCGTTCACTCAGGGATACAAGCTCTCCCGTGTCAACTGAATTTTTTCTCTTTTGGTTCTTTGTTAACCCTATAATGCCAAATGTGTCATATCTGATTCATACGGTTTCTGAAGTCTTTTGGATCTGAGACTTTCTGCATCATTCAGTGGTAAAAGCTTTGCTCAAACCCCTGTTGTACACATTCAGATATACCTGATAACAGCCAGTAGAAGAGTACACCAAAATACATTTTTTACTTATTGCACGCTAATTTGCTCAAAATAATTTCTGTTTTTTTTTCTTCATGTGTTGTTAAGGGGACAAAGAAAGACTTCAGACTAAAAAAATCCAATATTCTTCCAATTTTTTTCTTGGATCAGGCTTTAAAGGGTTAAAGCTGTCTTTTCGGGCTTTTGAAGCTATTTTTGGCCTTTAAAGCTGGTTTTGGGGGCTTTTAACACTATTTTGGGGGGCTTTTAAATCTGTTTTTTGTGCTGTTTTGGGGGTCTTAACCCTATAATGCCAAATGTGTCATATTTGATCCGGTTTCTGAAGTCTTTTGGATCTGAGACTTTTTGCATCATTCAGTGGTAAAAGCTTTGCTCAAACCCCTGTTGTACACATTCAGATATACCTGATAACAGCCAGTAGAAGAGTACACCAAAATACATTTTTTACTTATTGCACGCTAATTTTATCAAAATAATTTCTGTTTTTTTTTCCTTCATGTGTTGTTAAGGGGCCAAAGAAAGACTTCAGACTAAAAAAAATCCAATATTCTTCCTATTTTTTTCTTGGATCAGGCTTTAAAGGGTTAATAATGACACAATTCTCATCTCAAATATATGTGCGTTTCATCCTACTTTTCACCATTCTGAGTGCTTCTCCACTTTTTTTTTTTTTAGGCTGTTGGGTTTTAGAAAGACAACAAAAGCCACCGATCACTTTTCCTTCGTGCCATGCTTCACTGACATCTAATTTCTCCTCCCCACCAAAGCAGAAATAGAGTAGTAAACCAATCAGGGCAGTCTCCACGTGTCATGTGTGTCACCTTATTTAAGCACGCTCGTCCTTTGATGGAGTTCGGAGGGTTTAGGGGTGTCGGCAGATTCTTTAATCCCTGTTTTTGATGTATTTTTATCTGTTTCTGTTGTGGGCGGCTTTAAACTGCGAAAACGACAGGATTGCCTCCCTATTGCACGAATGGCCCTCGGTGGTGGTAGAAGACACTTTGTCGCACAGAGAATAATTCGTTTAATTGCCATCTTTACATATTGTGAACAACCAGATGTCCTGTTTGCTTTGACAATACAATAAGGAATAAAAGGTTTTCCTCACAGTGGGGCAAATGCAAGAAGATTGAATTCTTGTAAATGCATCCTTTTTTCTTTACGATTCATGGATGGCACAAACGGATAGAATAGTTTTAACCCTGTAATGCCAAACGTATCATATTTGATTCATACAGTTTCTTAAATGTTTTGCGTCTGACACCTTTTGCATAATTTTATGGTAAAAACTTTGCTCAAAATCCGATTGTACACAATCAGATACACCTGATAACAGGGGGCAGAAGACTACACAAAAATAATCTTGACTTATTGCATAAATCATTAATATTAAAAATTTATTTTTGTTTTTACTTTTGACATATTTTGTTAAAAGGCCAAATATAGACTTAAAACAAAAAAAAAGTAAGTTTCTGTTTTGTTTTCTTCTTGGATCAGGCTTTAAAGGGTTAAAAAAATGTACCATCTTGGTTTGCCATTAATACTTTACCTCAGAAAAAAGGGTTAGCAAGCCTTAGCTAGACACAGATTAGCCTGTTGCAGCTCTTTTTCCCGCTCTAACCTGTGCTTACACTGGGCCGTTATGGTAATTGTGACAGGATTTCCAGCATCTTCTTTTCCTCAGTTCACCGGTCCCTCTGAATGAGAAAGATTCTGGTTGTATTTCAGACTAAATCCCCTTTTACCACGCCGAGCTTCCATGCTAGCCAAACGACCCACAAAGTGGATCCAGTTGAGCTTTGTAATGTCTTGCGACACATCTGTGGCACATCTGCAGCTTTCAGGGACTAAAACAAAAGGTGAAATCTGCAAGAAAGAGGATTTTATACACTCTGTGTGTAGGTTAATGTCCCCCGTACAGTGGAAAACGAATGGGATTGTGTTTGATTTTCAAAGAACTGAATACAGATTTAGCTTAATCTCCAGTAGGCCTTCGTCAGCCCTTGAAAGCAGAATTGTCAGTACTGCGTCTTTCCTTTTGGACTCAGAAAACCAGACGCCCACTCCCAGAAAAGGAGGTTGTTATTTCTCTAATAGATTGCACCGTCACGGACTTGATGACATTCAGGTCAGTGTTTTTGTCCCTTTTCCTCCCCCTGGATACAGATGTTAATGACCCAGTGGTTTGACGAATAGTGTCGGCTTCCTCCTCTTTTAACCTCATTTGTGTGCACGGATGGGACATTTTGACTGGAAAAAGGTTCCCAATCCCTATTTCTGGCGAACGGATTAACAGGTTAGAAGTAAATGCAACCCAAATTCTTAATTATTTGGTTAAAGATGAGTATTGCAGACTCTTAAATGAGCTTTCCGCTCATGCCACGCCATGTCAAATAAACAACAACACGCTGGGATTGTGTGGTCATGGAGCCAGAGAGACCAGATTTGTTGGCCTTTTCTTGATGTTTTAGCCAACAGTGAATCTAAATTAAGACTTCTGTGCTGACAAATAAAACTAGCAGATGTGTGTTAGCATCCTATCCCATCAGTTCTCCTCCCTTGCTTGTTCAACACTTGTTAGTGTGTAAAGTTAGTGTAAAGTATCGGATTCTTTTCGCCACCGAGCTCTGTGATACAAAAAAAAACTCAATTAAACGTATAAACCTTTATCTTTCTGTAGAAACTGATGCAGAAGCATCCCCGGAAAACATCCAAACTGTTTTTCCTGCTTCCTCTTCCCTGTCGTTTCTCTTTCTGATGCACCTTTCTTGTTTCCTTTATTTCCTGGATCTCTGTTTTCTCTTTATTATCCTTTCAACTCTCCTCCTCTCTACCTACACAGAGTCTATGTTAATTCAATTCA